AGTGCGAGGCATTTCCTGGTTTGTTGGCCTCAGATCCATGCTCCCCAGTTTCTCTGTCAGCCGGCTGTCGGACTCCTCTGGAAACTTAAGTATAAAGTTAGTTGTCGGGATGTGCAGTGTGGGCGGTGGGGTACCGGTCTCTGTTGTGTGCGCGCCACGGTCAATCCAGGCGCCGCTCTGCCATGGGTTCCGCCTTTTGTGTTCCGGCAGCATTGCATTGTCAATTGCCATTTGGATGGTCGGTTTTTTTCCGTTTGTTGGTTGGGTCGGGGTCTTTCGCGTCGCGGTCCGTCTGAGAGTCAATTTTTTTTGTTTCTCCCACCCCGTTTGGCTACGGGAGCTCTTGCCTGCCTGTTGCTGGAGCACAGTTCTTTCAGTTACTTTTTTAAATTAATTGTTATTATTCCAGCTCTCATGGCTGTGCTCTGTTGTTTATTTATTTTGCTTGACTGTTTCTCGTTTTCATTTCTCTCAGTTGTCTTCCTATGTGAGCTGTTCATCTGGTTGTCTCTTTGTTTTTGTTTGTTTGTTTTGTTCTTTGTTTTTCTCCACCCCAAGCCCCCCTCCCCGTTCTCTTGCAGTTGTTGTCCTTTCTCTGAGCTGTCTGTTTGTGTGGTGTTTGTATCCCCCATCCCCATGTCTAAGTTAAATAAATAATAAGAGACAAAGGAGTATATTAATACTCTCTTGTTAAAGTAAAATTTGTCTGGCACAATATGGTATCCAGCTCCTCATTCTCTATACCAGGCTGCTGGGCGGGGCAGGTTTAAAAAAAGATAAGAGAGAGAGATAAGAAAATATGCAAACACACATGTGGATGTTCATGGATGCTGGATACTCCTTAGGACACTTAAGTCCTTTTAGGCAGTGGTTCCCAAAGCCAAGGCCGCATAACAGTACAGGACTCAGAACATTTGCTACCAGGCTGCTAGAAAACAACATGATTTGTCTGTGCTACATCTTTGCTTATTGCTCCCTGTCAAACAACAAGTTAATAATTTTAAACTAAAGTAGGTCATCGTTATTAGGGATCCAACTTTTTATCTCCTGATCCCAATTCCAATACCTCAACTCAGGTCTGCCATTTTGATTATTGTCTAATATAGATTTGAAAAACCTAGGATAATATAATATCCTTTGTAAAAGCAGATACAAGAAATTCTTCTTGCTGATTGATGGTGAACACAATATCAAAGTGATATGGACAGTTGAAACAGAGGAGTTTTCAAGTGGGCACCCTCCTTCCTTAACATTTTGTTGATGAGCCTAAAACGCTTTTGGAGAGCTCAACAGTGAATGCTGTCTCTGGAGGAGATATGAGTTGTTGGCCGATGTCAACCATCATCTTCCAATAAGCAGAGTGAGGCTGATTTTACACCCTGTGATAATCTGTTTGAGGGAGGCTGGATTAAACAAAGGGCATACCTGGGATGTTCACCTAGCCAAGATTAACTGGTGTGGAAGGATGTCATATGTAGCCCTGATGGGATTCAGATCACATGGACATCACATCAGCCCGGTTCTTGCCTCTCTTCACTGGCTCCCAGATCATTTTAGGACTGAATTTAAGATTTTATTGTGTGTTTTTAAAGCCCTTCATTGACCAGCGCCAGCCTCTATCGCTGATCTATGAAAGCAGCATGGTCATTAAGGGCCGCAAACCAGTCAGTTCTTGCCCCTAAAACACGGCTCAAGAACAGTGGGGGTCGAGCTTTCTCGGTTGCAGCCCTGAGACTGTGGAATGAATTGCCTCTTCATGTCACACTAGCCCCCAGGCTTCTAGTTTTTAAAATACTCCTTGGCTTTTAATTCGGGATGAGATCTGTACGTTGCTGTTTTTTGGTGTTGCATTTGTTTATTTATTAATGTCAATGTACAGCACTTTGGTCAAGCTGGTTGTTTTTAAATGTGCTTTATAAATAAAGTTGAATTGGATTGGATAAAGCTTAGTCACGTCACTTCCCTGGTCCACACATCTTTCCAGCTGATCTTCCTCCTTGTTGGAGGAACTCGTTAGCAACTCGTTATTAGACCTCCTCTTCCTTGCTGAACATGTCCCACAGTGTCCACATGAGAGCTGCTGCTCCACTGCTTTGGCTGGTCTCCATTTGCGCCCAGATGCTAAGGTCAGCACGGTGTTGCTCACCAACGGTGAGGGGCAGCTTGAGGACATCATCTCCATAGAGGCCTATAGTTGTAAAGCACAGTGGAACTCCTACTGTTGAGATCGGGACCTGACTGTGAGGGGCCACAGCACCTGGGGTAGAAGCCCAAACAGGAGGCACTGCTGGACTTATTCCGCAGTTGTTGCACCTGGTCTTTGTCCTTCAAGCTTGCATCATATGTCTTCGAAGGCTTTTGACGGGCTGCTTGGATACTGTTTGGATTGGGTCATCTCTGATGAAGAATTTACGGTCAGGGAGCACTCCCTTGATAATCGAGATGATGTGTCACTTGGGTGGTTTCATCTTGATACAGGCCCAGCTAATGTTCTCCTCCAGTTTCCTGGTGCATTGAGTGGGTTGAGAGTGCATCACACCACTTACACCTACTTCCAGGCACTGACAAGAGCTGGTACATTCAGGAGGTGGTAAAACCTTCAGGTCGGATTTAACCAGGGCTGTGATGGTGTCCGGTATGTGGAAGAAGCTGAAGGCAGACCACAGGACTTGCATTGGTCCAGATAGACTATGTGAAGGTCCCTTTTCTCCACCTTCGCCGATTGGATCAGGTGTCAGATCGTGCTAGAATGCTCTAAGCAACCAGAAAGCCCCATTATTCCTGCATTATGTTTCTTCACAGATATTTAGCCCTCCTTTGCACTATGATACCGAAAAACATTTTACCACATTTAGCAGGGAGACTGGTCAGAACTGGCTGATGTTCACTGCATCCTTCTCCTTTGGAATAAGGACCCCACCTGCCCTACACCATGCAGTTCTCGTGGGCCTCCAGAAAAACCTCAGGTCATCTGAAGCATTCTTATGCACTTTATGCTGCCGATGGACTTTGTTTTCCATATTGGTGGCCCACTCTCAATGCAATGTTCTGGAGGGTCAATTGGAAGGATGTCTGATAGTATTTTCAGATGTTCGTGCTGCCTTGTGTCTACAACTAATCCTCCAGTTCTTTCTTTGTTGTTCTTTCCACTTTTTTACCTCATAAAGAAATATTTTAGAACTTGAAGGGATCTTCATAGAACTGTGTCATGGTTTGTTCTTTCTTCCCCTATTCTCTACAATTTCTTTTCCACTGTGTCTCAAAGTTGCTCAAGGGTCAGGACATTGTTAATAGTTTTCCACAGTTTCTTGTCAATGAGGAGGTTGAGTGTATTCCACCAATGTTGTCGTCACTATTCTTGCATCTCTTGCACGTTAGTAGTGATAATTCTATCCAAATTCATGTGGTTGTAAATATTAAATGTATGGAAACATTAAAAAGGATGTCACAGAAACAGTTAAAAACTATGAAAAAGAATTAATTTGTCAACGTTAAAATGCCAATTGTTGGGTTACATGGAAATTCATGATAAACATTTGTTAGTGCTAAATTACCAGTTGCTGTTACATTTGGTATTTCATTTTACTGTAAACAAGGTATGTCCTTAGCCAATAGTTATACACTGAAAGATGCACTAAATGAAGAATTAAGTAAAAAGGGACCATGTGTAGTTTTCAATGGCCTCTAGCGGTGAGGTTTCAGATTGCACAATAAATCTAGCTGGCTGAACTGGCCTTGCATCACTATTGGCTCGTAGAAACAAATCGTTGCACATTTCATTTGTACTGTCAACACTATGTTAATATAGCGGTACACGGGATCATAATGTTATGTGCCATCCAACAGTACTTTGTAACGGATAATCTTAAGCAACTGGTCGCCATTAGCCAGCAAGCTAAGGTTATCAAATTTGAGCCACCTAAAACACAAAATCACAATATATTTCATATAGGGTTTGGGTATCTCACAAAAGTGAGTACAGCCCTCACATTTTTGTTAATATTTGATTATATCTTTTCATGTGACAACACTAAAGAAATGACCTTTTGCTACAATGCAAAGTAGTGAGTGTACAGCTTGTATAACACTGTAAATTTGCTGTCCCCTCAAAATAACACTTCACACAGCCATTAATGTCTAAACTGCTGGCAACAGAAGTGAGGACACCCCTAAGTGAGAATGTCCAATTTGGACTTTCTCACAGCCATGCAGACCAATTTGATGCAGTGTGCTGCGTATGGTCTGATTACTAACAGGCTGACCCCCACCAATTCAACCTCTGTAGCAATGCTGGCAGCACTACTTTCCCAAAGACAACCCCTGGATATGATGCTGAGCATGTGCACTCAATTTCTTTGGTGTGTCCTGTTGAACCGCTGTATGGTCTTGGCCACCGTGCTGCAGTTCAGTTTCAGGGTCTTAGCAATCTTCTAATAGCCTAGGCCATCTTTATGAAGAGCAACCATTCTTTTTTTCAGATCCTCAGAGAGTTCTTTGCCATGAAGTGCCATATGAACTTCCAGTGACCAGTATGAGGGACTGAACACACCTGCTCCCTGTTCCACACCTGTGGTGTACGTGTTAACTTATAAAGATTGCCCCATGGGTAAGAACAAATCAGTGGTCTGCACATATGTTTTTCTCTCATGCTGTTTTACTGATGAATTTAAGAAAAAAAATGTGGGGCTTCATTCATTTTTGGTTTTAGGATATGTCATTTATGTTTATGTGTTATCTTTTTGTAGCTGTGGTTAATTAACCCAGTTTCGTCATCTTGTGTTCTAAAAGATAATGTATCACTCTACCATGCCATGCCCTTGAGCAAGACACTATACACTCCAACTGCACCAATGGAGTTGTTAGAGGGTCGTGGGTCAGTCGTGGTAGGGTGCTAATAACCTTCTCCCAGAGTCAATTAGCAAAACTATATGAATGTGAAGACAGCATGGAACACAGCTTTTCCTGCACAAATAAAGGTTGAATCAAAGCGTGGTACTTACTGCTGCTGGATGTGCTGTTGGATGTAATGTGGTCGTACAAGCTGGGCCGGCTTGACAGTTAGTTTCATCTGGGCCATGTTGCTAGATGGAGGGGGGGCAGAGGCATGCCCATTGGGAAGCACTTGCTGTGGTATAGGCCGCTGGGGTACCCCATTGTGTCCATTAGTGGGACCATTAGTGTGTCCATTGGTGGGTCCATTCCCAGGCAGTGCTGGGAAGGGATGTGTGGGCACAGTCTTCTGTTCACATACCTTCCCATTTGAGCCAGGCTTGCAGACACAGAGCTGAGGCCTGAGGCACATTCCTCCATTCTGGCATTGAGGGATGCAGTTGGCTACAACAGGAAACACAGACAGAGCAAAGAGAGAAGAAGAAAAGAAAGAGAAAGGAGAGACAGATGGACAATGAAAATGAGTGATAACAGTAAGAGGTCATGCATACAAAAACATAGGGAAACAGAAGCAAGAGTATGATAAACTTGACTTTTCGTGATTGATAATGCATTGCACATCATTAATTTAATGCATAGCAAATATAAAGTTAGAGGCTAAAAGTAAGGGAAAAAGCTTCAATCACACTTCTGTAACAGGAATTTACAATCATATATCATTACTGTTTAAAATCTAGAATTTTAAATGCGCTTTCAGATTTACTGGCATGGTTCAAACAAACTGTTGCATTGTCATTTGACTCAGTTCATTTAGGCTTGTATGAAAGCATTAAATGAACTGGTGCAGACCAGACACCAGGAAGACAGCTTGAAGTGGGTTACAGAGATGTGTTGTCTTTGTATCCTACTCCATGTATTTTGGCAGTTCCTCAAGTTAGACATAAAAGCCACAAAGTAGCCTAGGCCCCAACCTCTGCAGAGATAACACTACCATTGTTTTGGGGGGGCTCCCCCCTCCCCAAAAGCTGCAGAAACCCGGGACGGAATCGCAGAATTTGACAATAAAAAGACAGTTAACTTTAAAACGCGGAATATTATGGAATCTGCCAAAATGTTGATGCAATTTATAAAAATCAGAAGTTGCCCTTGCATTCTAAGCGTTTTAGCCCACAGCACTTAAGACAAACTAACAGAAAAACTATACTGCTATTTTGGGGTGTTTACAGGCTGCATCTGTCCTCTCTGTCAGTGTATCAGCGAGCGCTCAGCGTCTCCCCCACACGCACACACACGGAGACACACTCACAAGCACTCACAAGTGCTCATCACTTCAACAAATTAGAAACGACGTCGGCAGATGCAAGATGCAAGTTGGTTGTAAATTTCATGGTAATGTGGGCGGAGCCAGATATTCTGAAATATTTAAAAGCTGAGTGATGCCCACATGAGAGTGGCCTGTACATGTATTGCAGCAATGCAGTCATTGTGAATCGTCCCCTATAAAATAGTAATATACTGTATTACTTTAATATCCTTCTGTTGCAATACATTTATTGTCCCCATTGTGCGCACGCAATGATGATGCAGTGATAAGGGACGATTCTCTCTGACCAATCAGGAGGCTGCAGTGTTTTCACATCACATTTTAGTATCGCCTCAGCTTAACTCAGCTCGCTTGGAAGCTAAACAGAGGTGAGACGAAGAAAAGTAGCAGGTACACGTACAACTTTCCCCCTATGGAAAACCAAAAAAGGCGAGTACAGTCGAGTAGGGCTACAGCTAACGATGATTTTAGTAATCGAGTATTCTACAGATTATTAATTTGATTCGTCGAGTAATCGTATATGAAGCACTTCTGTTGTGCTGTTGGTAGGCGACATAAGTTTCGTTTTTTACGGTGGACGGACTGTGACATAACAGAGTTGTTGTTTTCTTTTAGCTTGAAATAATCCCATACTTTGGACACTTTCTTCTTCGTCCCTCGCTATTTTCTCTCTCCTCCTCTACTTTGCAAACAGCTCCATCATAATCACGTCGTCTTAACTCAATCACAGCGTAAGCGCGATGTGCGACAGTAATAATTGTCCGTGCCAAACAGTGCGCTCTATAGTTATATGGATTAAACGAAGCGTCGATGCTAAGAATTTGTGTTGATGCTGTTTAGTAATCGAATTTATTGAATTTATCGATAAATCATTTCAGCCCTAGAGTCGAGGCGAGTCGAGCTGGTACCATGCAGTAGAAAAGAGACATTTGTGTCCGTAAAGCCTCAAATATACTCCAGTGCCGACAGCCGCAGACACCTCGGATGCGGACTACTTCTGTTTATACTACTTTCTGGAATCAGCTTGGCGGACTCGTTCCACATATGCGCAGTAGATTGGTTGGTGCCCTGGTAGCGTAGTTGGCGTACCGTTGAAGTTGGCGACAATTTTTCGTCACGTGGACCCTAGCGGCCCCCTTTCTAATCAGGGGTTAAATGTGGGCTTGTGTGGAGAGGGGTCCCTTGTCCCTTGAGGGAGGTGGTTTCCAAATAACCCTAACCCTGTTTTAGCGACTATTTCTTCAATAGAAAGTTGTTCCAATGAAAACTATAGACATTGTGTAATAATGACACTGTTTCTGGAAAGAGATGATGCTGTTTAATTTCCTAAATGTCATTTCAGAGAGATATCTTATATTGAATGTGACTATCAAAATGGCCACTAGGGATAAGCATGAGCATTTTATATCTATAGTATTTTATTTCTTCATTTATTGGTAATTTAGGTAAAGCGATAAATAAAATAAAAACTGTCTGACTAAAACCACTCATTAACATCAATCAAGATCATTGGTACCCATCTGCAGATCCTGCAGAGTCCAAAGGATACTAAAAGACAGTACCCACAAAGCAACAGCTTGTTCACCCTGCTGCCCCCTGGCAAGAGATACAGAAGTATCTGCTGTCGCACATGCAGAATGCAGAGCTGCTTCTTTCCCCAGGCTGAGATTTGATACTATTTATCCACTCATCTACTGTATATTATTTTTTGTGAACCATTGGTAGTGACAGCTTTGATGGTCCTGGACTCATTCTGAGTACAGCAGTTTTGCTCCCAGTGACTTCACTACAAAAACCTGCAATATGTGTAGAAAAGCATTTGGGTTAAAAAAGCACTGACTAAACATTTGTTTAGTCAGTGTGACATAGTGTCTGAGAGCAGACGTTTGAAGCCAAAAGTGTGAGATTTGGTCATTATTTAGTGGAACACATGCTTAACAGAGTGGTGGGTCTTTATCTAAAAAAAAAGATGTAGCTAATCACCTCATATCAATTTCAGACAGGTAGCTAGCAGGTAGCTGGATAGTTGTCTAGTGTAAATGAAAGCCAGCTAGTGAACGTTGGTGATCTCCCATTTAACTTTTCTGCCAATCATATTACTGCTGTGGATTCATCAGAAGCTAAAGTTGACATTCACTTATGCAACTTAAGTGCAGAGTTATATAGCAGAGGTGGCAGAGGTAAGGATACTAAAACTGGTGCTTCGACAGACTTTAAGACAGGATAAGGAGTGATAAAGTTATAGTTGCAGCAGTGTTGGTGTAGACATTTCAGTTAGGTTTCAGTTATGATGTGTCTAGCATTGGCAAATTATTCAGGCCTACCTTTTTCTTACAACTCTTGGTTCATTTGTAAAAAGTCAATGTGAACATGAAACCATTTTTTTCCCTACGGTCTGAACCAAGCAAATCCAACAACATTTTAGCACAAACCTTATATAGTAAGGTTGGTAAAACACAATTGTCTGTTTACACACATACAAACTGTAACATTTCTGACCATCACATTCTATATGCCATATGTGTGATGTCATCTCAGCTGGCAGCAATTTTTAGTCATTTATCACTGAAGGGGATAATTTCGGAGCCTTTATTAGCCTTCTACATAACCATCTGCTACTATAACACATCAGCCTTAGGTGCACCACTGCAATGTGCATACACACAGCAGAAGAGCTCCACATGCATGTTCACATCACATTCAGTCAAACAGGATGACATGTTCTTGCTAAAACATTCAAGATGGCCATTACAACTCTGACATCTTATTACAATTAACAATTAAAAAGGGAAAATGTACCCAATAATACTGTATACACTGTGAGATTAGATTTTAAGCAATGAGGTACGCATCAAATTAAAAAAAGTAAATTGCAGTGGTATTAAAAGCATTAAAAAGAAAAAATGCTATATGGTTCGAATTCATCTAACTGCATTTTCTCTAGCACCATTTATCCTATAGACTTTACATGGCAGGCGTATTGCTGAGGACCCAAAGAAGTGCAGTGTTGAATTTGGTGAAATTTGGCCTAATAGTGCTATAGCAATAAACTTTACGTTACACCTGTAACTTTTGAACAGTAAGTCTAAACAAAATAGATTTTCTCTAGCTCTGTTGGTGCCTACCAATAATGAGGGAAATATCATGATGATATGATGTTTTTATTATGTGCACTAGCTATTCTCTAAATGTGTTTGTCTGCTATTTGTTACTGAGCAGGTAGTGTACAGTGGGCTTTTCAGACATTTTCTCTCTCTTAAAGGGGTATTATGGAGCCACTGGCGGCGCATTTTAAGCGTGTGCCCGTACGCGTGCTCGCTTGAACTAATGAGCGAGCATAATCCGAAACATAAACGCGGAAACACTGGCATGAAGGCTGTGGCTTTTCACTCAGACATGTTCAGGCTCTGTTACTTCAATGTTCCCATCTCAGAGGCAGATCAACACCGGCCCCGTCATTTATCAAAAAGGCAGAGTAACAGCGGCTAGACAGACAGGGAGGCAGCTTCACACAACATGCTGGAAACTCAGGTAAACTCCTACTGCAACGTTACAGTAATAGTTTTCAGCTGCAGGTTGAACTAATCCATGCTCGTTACATGATCACAGTACATTTACTGCATTTAGCCGACATGGTACAGCGTTAGCTCGCCTGCTGCTTTCAGTAACTATCTTTACTATCTGTGTATCTTTCACCGGAGGCTCAGCAATGTCAGCACAGCTACATGTATTGGATGATAAAGAAAGTAGTGAGCTGGCCTGAATATTATAATGAGATTGTGTCACACTTTATAATAATAAGACAGCATTAAGTAACTTTACGGTACTGTTACTGCATCACTATAGGCTAACGTAAGTAAACAAATCGTTCCACATTTGCCTTTTACTGTTAAATCCTTTCTTGCAGGCTAAATCAACAGTGGTACACAAGATAATAACATGGGTCGCATTAGTTGGTGAAGTGATATAGAAAGCGATATAACTTTGCACCGGATAACATTAGCAACTGTTCGGCGTTAGCTAATGTGACTTTCTGTGTTTCTCCAGCTTTACTAATGCTCACTTTGTTCTTACTCAACATCATCTGAACCTGTTTGGTCTGATGGGCTTCAGCACATAA